AGAGTACAACCTAACAGAAAATATTGGAGATCTGTTCTACCTGCGCAAGACTTATCAAAGCCGATACAGCTGCCCGTATTTGATAAACAAAGGGAAATGACGCCACTTATCCAGCTCAAGCAAGGCCTGGTGAAGCAGCCACTGCGTTCGAGAAAAGTAAGTGTGTGTGTAATCTTTCGATCCCATGTGTTTTTTTTTTTTCAAGTCAATAAATTCTAGTATACATACCTAGGGATGTTATATGACCGTGGCGATATGATGATCACTGAAGCCTGTCCATTTAGGCAAGCTTCAGTGAAGATCGAGGGCAACCTCGAGCCGCTAACCAAAAATGTCTCGCTTCACTCGACATTTCTGCGTAGCGTCTCTCGGAAAACTCGGATTTAACCTCGATGTAGTCTAGAATTTCATGACTACATCTTGGTTAAATCAGTCAAGGTCTCTTAAATGCTGAAAGCCAAAGACAGAGTGATCATGTGACCTTGGCATCAAGAGAATAGTGCTTATATACCTACCAGTAGACAAATTAAAAACCTCTCACGCTCTTTAAAAAATTAGCATAAACTTTTCACGTTTAAGAATTATTATTTATCATTTTACTACACTAAGTCATATCATAAGGGGTATGGTTTGAAAACGGGAATTAGTTTACATTTAAGCCACACGTGCATACAAATTATTTGTAAATCTATAGCTTTTTAACGAGGGTTGTGTTATTTACCTTTTGTTTTTAAGCTGTTCATTCTTCCTCTTTATCAGATATATCGGTAAAAATCAAATGCATTCCCCCTTTGAACTTGTAATTACATGTACACATGAATGCTCTGAAAACCAGCACATGTATGTACCGAAACCGCCTCGTAGTAAAAAAAATGTCACCAAAACGTAGAATTATTACTCCTGTGGACTTGAAATAAACATCCGTTTGATTTTGACTATATTCCGTAACCGCCTCGTCGTCAGAAATAACAATAAAAAACTAGAATTATTACTCCCGTGAACTTGTAATAAACATCCGTCGATTTTGAATATATTCCGAAACCGCCTCATTGTCAGAAATATCACCAAAAAGTAAAATTCTTTCTCCTTTGCACGTGTGAAAAATTAGTTTGACTATATTCCGGTCCGACGCTCCTTTTTTATCAGAAATGTCACTAAAAAGTAGAGGTTTTGCCTTGGGACCTTGTTTCCGCAGCAGTCCCAGCTAGGTGTGGCTCAGCTGAGACGTGCATGGTCAGCGTCGACGGTTGATTAAATACTTCTCAAGCCAGNATAAGCAATATAACATAAGTGCCGAAGTGTAAACTTGGTATTTCCTTGCTCTTTCAGCCTGTGGAATACCCTCAAATAACTGGCACCGATCATTGGAGACGAAAAATGCGCACTGTATTTAGGGCCTTCGACGTAAACGGTGATGGTTACTTGACCAGAGAAGATGTAGAGATGAGCGCCAGGCGGAGTTCAGAGTTCATGAAGCTTGATGGTAAATGTATTAATTTTTAATATAAATGACAATATTGGTTTCATACTAAAGGCTTGTTTGGCTATAAAAGCAATACTTTATATTATGTTTCTAAAATATTTTATCATTTATCCAGTAAGTAATCCCTTTTTATTTCGCACAGACGCGTGCACACGCATTTAACGTACAAATGCGTCTTTCAGTCAAAACAATTAAAAAACAAATATAAAAAGGACTATTGTAATATACATAGTCTTTGATCTATTTGTATATATACTGTACCGTAAACATTTCAGACGAAAACACCAAAATCCTTCTTGACCATCGCCTTACCTTCTGGAGAGATTCAATTTCTAAAGATTCGGCAGGTAGAAATATAAGTAAAATATCCGAGGATCAGTTCGTGGAGAATCAGCTCGTCAACATGAACAACAATAATTTCCGAGAAAGTTTCTTTGATATCCTTTCTTCAAGATTTCAAATGATGGACTTATTTCTCCAGATGAACATGCTGCTATTTTCTACGGTTTCAACATCCCTACTGAGCACTCAAAAAAAGTGTTCGACATCATAGACAGCGACAGTGACGGCTTCATTACCCATGAAGAGTTCATTCGCGCATTTATTGAATTTTATTTAACCGAAAATCCTGACAACAAATACAACGAGTTTCACGGTCCGCTCGTTGACAATAAAAATTGATGTTTTTTTCTATCTACAAAAGAGAAAAACAAATATTTTACCCAAATGATTTTTGAGTTTACAAGAAATGCATATCTAATGCAATGAACATAACATTTCATATATTAAGATTCGAGATGAGTGCCTGAACATACGGGAATAGTAAAAAAAGACACGTATGTTAAGATCATAAACTAACAATATTATGCAGCTTATGAATTGTATGAGACCAATCAACCTTCCCAAAATGGTTGAATGCTGCTGAATGTTTAGTACAAAGGGACAAAATAGACAATAAGTAAAAAAACCTGTAAAATTAAATCATTTTCAGTACGAAGTAATTGCTTGTAACAGGAACATGGTTTGTTCTAACTCGCACTGACACTAAAAACTGATACGTTTTTGATAAACTAACGATGTTATGCAGCTCTTCCACATCTAGGACGCCGAACAAGTGGATGCTCGTTGATCTTATCTGTACGCTTCTGTCATACGTGTAAGCTTTTATTTCAAACGACTCCATTCGAATGTTAAAACTTTTTTCACAAAATAAACCTCAACTCTCATGACGTTCACCTTCAATTCTTGTAAATCAGTTGCAGTATTTTTATATCAATAGTTTTATCTAAACACATAATGACATCTCCACAGGCCTGTTGCCTGGCCCAAGTTACATTCCCAACAGACACAGATAAGTTGGTACAATTAAAGAATCAATGGTAATCATGCTGTTAAGAATTGGTTAATTTTCCATCAAAAGTATCAAAATGATTATTGAATGCCCTGAAATAGGTACTATTATCTTCTGCTTTATGCCTGTACCTTTGACAGCGTTGCTGCCTTGGTTTTATTTTCTTTTTTTTTTTAGATTTGAAGCGGGATATACCATTAAAGATCAGCTTACAAAACGAGTTGATATGCGATACTTAAATGCTGACTGGGTGAAAAAGTACACAAAAGAAACGGCTCCTCTCACATTTCAGTGAATGGTTCTTTTGCAGCCTGCATACAAATGTTTAATTCAGACCACACTTCGTAATACAGAACAAGCGTGTGAACTTTAGGCGCTTTTCGGGACAGACATTTCTTGCAAACTAATGCTGAATATGCCAAGACTTATTCAACGCCGCCTGCTTGGGCTAGTGACGATAGTACAACCTTACAGAAAATATGGGAGATTTATCCTACCTGCGCAAAACTTATTAAAGAAGATAGAGCTGCCCGTATTTTCTAAACAAAGGGAAATGACGCCAGTTATCCAGCTCAATCAAGGCCTGGTGAAGCAGCCACTGCGTTTGAGAAAGGTAAGTGATAACTGATACTGTGTGTGAAGTCTTTCGACTTACCTTTACAAGCCAATAAACCTTTACAAGCCAATAAATTCTAATTGGCACCGATCATTGGAAGCGCAAGATGCGCACCTTGTTTAGGGTCTTCGACGTAAACGGTGTTGGTTGCTTAATAGAAGAAGATATGGAGATTTTCGGCAGACGTACTGCAGAGTATATGAAGCTTAATGGTATATGTATTAATTTTTGTTAAAAAATGTTGGATTCGTGTTTTAATTGCAGGCCTGCTTGGTAATGAAAATGATACGTAATTGTTTCTAAACCACATTATTATATATTTTTCTAAACGATATTAGAAACTTATTTTATTTTTGCACAAACATTTCACTTTTATGTCATTATCAGCGAAAATCAATAAAAATATCAACCTACTCCAGCAGTATTTAAATATTCACATATATTCGCGTATTTTATTTTAAACATACGGTTCTGTGTATATTTCAGTCGAAAACACCAAAATTTTTATTAACCAACGCCGCTCTTACATGAGAGATGTGATTTCTAAAGATTCGACAGGAGAAAGTAAAGGCAAATTATTCGAGGATGATTTCGTGATGACCTCGTCAACATGAATGAAAGCAAGTTCCGAAAAATATCCTTTGATATCCTTTCTTCAAGATTCCAAATGATGGATATTGATGGAGATGGACTTATGTCTCTAAATGAACATGCTGCTTTTTTCTACAGTTTCAACATCCCTTCTGAGTATTCAGATAAAATATTTGACATCATGGACGCTGACAATGATGGCTTCATCTCCAAGGAAGAGTTTGTTCACGCGTACACTGAATTCTGGTTTACCGAAAATCCTGACAATAAATACAATGAATGCTTTGGTCCACTCATTGACATTGAAAATTGAAACGATGTTTTCTATTACCAGTTACCAAATACTTCAAATGATTATTCAGTTCACTAAAAACACAATATATACTTACATGTGACATATAGCATATTACATATCAATATTATCGTAATGAAAATGATTAAAAGTACAGATACAAAGTTGTGATTGTAATGAATACATTGTACCTTTCATAACTAATACAATATACATTTGTTAAGAAGTTAAATAGTGTAAGTAAGAGAGTTAAAGAGTGCATGTGTTGTTCAGTAATAAAAAAAGAATAAGGGAGTATAGTTATCATTCCTTCAGGATGATACAATGAAAAATCTGTATTAATAGAAATGGCGACCTAAGGTCAAGTAACATACCATTGCCTAATAAGAGAATGATTATATTTTGGTAATGACGTAACGATGGAAAGTTATGGAAAAAGGGATAATCATAGACATTGTGTAAGAGCTGAGGAATTATTACATTACCAAATAAGGTAATGTAGGAGAAAGACTTTGTGATACATCATGACATTGGAATGATGATCTATAGGATAAAAGAGAATGCATTGTAACTGGAAAATAAGAATATACGAATAAATCTTTTAAGCTCCCAAAAGATGTATGTTCTTCATTTATAGTACTGGCAAAATAAAAGGTACTATAATATTCTAGACGAACGTCCTAAATATACTAAATGTGTGCGATTTATGAGAGTAACAGAAACGGTTGGTGCCGAAAGGGATTTAAGCATAAAATGAGCAAAGTCATATTTGGATTTCAGTTAAGGGCTGTTGCAATAGGACAAGTATAGAAATTTGGTAACATACGTACAAAATGACTTTAACGATTGTTGTGGTTGATAGTGAAATTTCTGGTGTGTGACGATAAAACATAATGTTGACGCTCGGTCACTCATGTAGATTCAAATATATATTCTGATACATACCCTGTATTATAGAAATCAAAATCTTTTTCAGGTTGAAACTGCACACGTGTTCTCTGACACGAGAAACTGATATGATTTTTTTCTACCGCCAAGCTCTAGCGATGATATTGAGCTTAGCTGGCAACAGCTGTGCATAAAACTGTATACCATATCTTAAAAAAAAAGTTTACTGCTTATATATTTCATTATTCACATATGTATTAAAGCATTCTTGATCTAGGTGTTTACATGTAGCATGGATTGCATGCGACTAATCCAAGTTACCCGTACGATTGCTATTGAATATATACAGTAAGATACAAATGGACAAATTTAACCATTTTTAAATCCTTAACAAATAAAATGACCTATCATATAAAACCATCCACGGTGGAATGAGGGTTGAAAACTTGTCCATTCACTGAGTTTACAGTGGCAGTTCTTTGTGCGCAGTCATAAGCCTCTTCCTTTAAGAAACTAGATTTGAGCTGCACTTCCATCGCCCTGGTTGTTGTCACTTGTGTTAGCGTCTCCGTTCTCTATGGCACGAGAAGGCTTCTTATCGCCGACGTCATCGAATAACTCCTCGATATAGGGCCGCAATGGCGACCAAAGCGACGGTTCCATCTCCCCCCTCTTGAGTGCGATGAGCTGTAAAAATCATAGACATAGTTGGAAAAACAAATCAAATGTAAAAGCATTAAAAAGATATTTGGCGTTTGATTGGTTGAACGTGATTCTTTGGGTCCAGTATTTGATAAGACAAACAGACCTCCAAAAAGCATGAAATAATTTTCACAAGTATATACGTCAACTAACATGGCATCCATCCTCAACATCTGTCTCTTTTTTTTTCATGGACAAAAAATAAATATTTCACAGATTTAAAATTTTTCCTTAACCCAAACAGTCAAATTAATATGTCCTTTTAAAATAGTGTCTTACCTTGGGTATCAAAAGCAACAAAACCGTAGCTATGATAGCGAAGAGCGTGAAGCCAGCTATGACGCCAAAGTTCACATTGGGCTCTTCTTGTACGAGGACACCTACTGGAACTCCAACAACAGTCGCCAAGGCAATGATAACCATAGCCAAACCAACCTGACTGCTGTCTCCAGCATCTCTCTTCATCGACATCACCCTAGAAAACATAAAAAGAAAATTAATACTAATATCACGTTATTTCAAATAGCAGAATAAATCAATAAAGATGGAACCAAAAAAAAAAAAAAAAAAAAAAAAAAAATCCATGACATTGGTAGAAACTTTTTGTATGTGGGCCCTACACGGGGTACAGTAAAAAGGTTGAAAATCAACTTCAAACATTATGTCAATAATTTGTTTCCATGTTGTGTCTGACGTGATTTGAAAGTGTTGTGGATGCGACAGATACATGTAGTACCGATGTAACATAAAAATCTGACTCCAAATGTCAAAATTTCATAATGAAATTTTAACTCCCCCTCACAAAACTTTATTATCAAATCTTATTTTATTTGAGTATATAGCTTTTATCTTGTAGTATGCATAATGGAGGATACATTGGCACTTTTTGTTAGTTTGCACGTGAAAATTTTCATGAGAAAATAGGAAAATTAAAAATGTGTATTTTTCCACCCAATGACTCCTATGAAAAGGCTATAGTAAGATGAATACATATTTCAAAAATTATCAATTTTCACCAAAATTTTCACCACCAAACTTTCAAATACTAACAAAATACATGTCACAATGCAAACCATGTGGAAAACAATGGTATGGTGACTAAATATAAAATAGGTTCTTTTCTTTATAGGAGTCCAAATCCCATGGGTATGAATATGAACATTTTTCATGATTTTTTTTTCTTTTTTTGCACCAAATATTTTACCACCAAACTTTCAAATATTTCCAATATATTCTTCATAAAGTATACTTAAGAGAAAGATGTTGAAAAGATCACCAAATATCAAAGCTTTTTCATGATGGTAAAATACACATTTTTAATTTTCTTATTTTCTCATTAAAATTTTCACCTGCAAACTAACAAAATATGCCAATGTATCCTCCATTATGCATACTACAATATAAACGTTAATACTTAAGTAAAATAAGATTTATAAAGTTTTTTTTTTTGGGGGGGGGGAGGGGGGTCAAAATTTCATGGGAGCAGTCACATTTTCATTATGAAAATTTGACTAGGGAGTCACATTTTCATAATGAAAATCTGACTGAGGAGTCACATTTTTCTGGGAGCCAGATTTTCATGGTACACCTATGTATTGGATGTGACGGTGCAGATACTGGTTTACGTACCAGGTAGGCCATACCAAGCAAACAGAGACCAGCAACAGCAGACCCTTGTACACGATAAACGCAATGGCCCAGCCCATAGCACTCCCGCTGTGGCATTGGCGATAGAGAGTCTGGTATCGCACCATCTTCGCGCCATCTCGCTAATTTTGAGAAGGAACGGGAGTCATATTATATATCCAAGACACACTGTGAAATAGCAGCTGAGCTAATGTATTGGCCGCACATGTGCCACTTTTTGGTACAATATCAAAAATATATTAAAGCAATGTGATTTTGAAAAAAAAAAGATTAATTACCAACTTGATAAGTAGTAGAGTCAAAAAGCAATATTTTCTCTTTCACAAAGTGCATATGCACTGTGGCGACCACCAGTATGGGCTAACTTACACTTTCGGGTAAAAGCCTATCTTTCACCACAAGTGGGTCAGTCAACTGCCAAATTATCAGCATCAGAATATCAATAACCAACAGTACGGCAACTCCAGACAGCATGCGCAGTTCTACTTGCAGACCCTGGCAAATATATGCTGTATATAAAGAACAACTGCAATTGTAACGTTTTGGTTTGCACATTAAAGATGAACGACATACATGGGTATATGTGAGGTATACGTATAGGTATACTAGTATATATGTGTGTGGCAAATGTGTGAAATAGCACAGGATCTGCAGCTGCAATTAAAGCATTTAATGTAGCTCGTTTCGTTGATAGTGAATGTATCTGCTTGGGCTGATCATTATATTTGCCTGCGATCCTTTGTATGTGTTTTGAATTTCACAGATGTGACAATTAAACCGTTGTTCGTGAGATTGTAGTGGATGCGCAGCTCATATTAGACAGAATTAAGAGTTGACCACTACAAGTCTTAGTCAATTTTTCAGTTAGATAATAGCCATTCATTTTGTCCCATATGCAGGGTGCAGGACAATGTCATGAATACAACAATTCAAAAGCAGCAGCAGTATGCAAGATGTTAACAAAATGCTGCTGTTTTTTCAGAGCGAGAAATTACATTAAAAACTCACCCAATCCTGCTGATAACGAAAGAGGCGATACACTCCCCACATCTTCAGCAGCATGGTACCAAACGAAAGTGTAAACCCAGTCACAAATAGCCAGACAAAGGCATTACATGGTATATGACTAGTCGACGACAGCTGAGTTGCACTGCCTGGAAAAAATAACCTGGGTTTGGAATATAGCAGTGGCGGATTTAAAGGGTGTCAGGGGTGTCCTGATCCCCCCCTCTTCGATTTCTGATTAAAAAAAAACGCACCGAAAAACGTCTAGCTAAATTATAGTTCTAAACCGTGCTAAATGGTGCCATTTGCCTTTCAAAACTCGCTCGAGGCCCTCGAGCGTGGACTGGACCTGAAGCCAAAGGGGGAGGGTCGGCCTCGCAATCCGAGGCCTGTCAATCCCTATAAAACGGACCCCTTCAAAAAATTCTGGATAGGCCTTGTATAGGCCAATGTATAGTACGCATAATAGGCCTACACCTAAATAAACATGATAATTTCTTTTATAAAATGTGACACGACAGAAGTCACTAGCACAGATATTTTTAAAATGTGCTATTATAATACATGGATCATACGGGAGTTTGTTTCTTCAAAAAAGATACCTTGAAATTGACTTGCGCGACAGCTAGCTCACCTTGAAGAATGACATTGACAGCCAGGAAGATGCACCCCAGTGCAATGACGCTGTTCATCAGTGGCCAGGAGTTTTGAATTAACCTGAACATTAAATATATTGCGTAAGTTGTGATCGTGTATGTCATTGTGACAGGAATGGTAGTCCTAGGAATGCAAGTTCAGACCATAGGGTCCCATATGGTTAGTACATGTTAGGGTAAGTCGTAGTATTGGAGCTAGAATATGGGTAGGCCCCTACTACCATTCCAGTCACACCGGTGCCTCTGCAGTCAGAAAATATAGGTATAACAATTAGGGCAGTAAACCTTAATACACACTTCTCATTTGAACAAAGGAAAAAATCGTGCAATGGATCGCTTGTACGATCTTGTGCAGATATTGAATTATGATTGATTACATTTTCACACTTAATGACAGGTAGGCCCTATGTGTACGCATTCCTGCCCACGCTGGTACCAATACATACTGCGTCTTCCATTTGACGATCGTAACTAACAGGAACACAACAGTGATAACTATTGATATCACAGCTAGCACAGTGAAGGCTATTTTGAGTTCGTCTGCGACAACCAGTAGTGTTCGGACCGTCCTGTACCCAGATTGAGGTATAACGCCACCTATCGAGAGAAAAAGTATGCCTTACACACTTGCTCAGAATGCATCGGGTGATATTACATTTAAAACTATTTACAATGTTCAAGACAGGTAGTCCACTTGGACGACCCCCCCCCCAAAAAAAAAAAAAATATATATATATATATATATATATATTTAAAAAAATAAATAAATAAAACAAACAAATTGAGCTACATGGACAACAGGGCCAATTCCAACAGGGATACTACAGATGGCTTCCAGTGTGCATCAACCGGGATGTTTACATTTTAGCTGAAACTAATTTTTTTCCTGCTTGTGTAACTTTCCTAGCCAAAACTGGAAATTTCCCCTCTTATATTTATTTAAGCGAGATGCAAGTAAACAAAGGGAGACGCAGATATGAGGACATAGATCTATGAAGACATACTGCTTGGGTTCAGACAATAAAATATTGGTGAATGAATTTCTATGCTCGATTATCAATGCACTGAATAGGTAGAACCACAACGCACCATGAATGTACCACAGTAAACTGATCTTCTCAGACAACGTCATGTTCCGGGATTTCTGGTCATAAATACCAAACAACGTAGCCGTACCGTCTGAAATCAGGAATAGGATATCAATTTTTCATTATGATTTCAGGCTATAAAATCTCTTAGTACAACTGTATTTCTTTTAGATGGGGGCATACACAAAGAGTCACATGCACGTAAGCACACTTTCTTCCTTCTCTAACTCACACGCGGGCAAAGGCAGAAACCTACTTCTTATTTGCTCCATGGACAACCAGCTCATTCGACTACCATGGGGTGAGAAAGACACAGGACCCTTGAAAGAGAAAAAATCTCATGATTTTATTTTCAGTGAATCTTGTCAACCTACTCTTCGCCTAAATGATACTACATCTGAAAAACGTTGAAAAACTTACCGACGCCCCGAAGAAGTTAGTGCGATTCATTTCTGGCACCAAAGCGTCCGTCACCGTGCCCAGATCGGTGTATTTGAAGTTGGTGATTATTCTTGGCGGAAGACGAGGCAAACTCTTGTTTAAGGCCAATGCAGCCGCCCATATGGCATCATAATTCAACTGATATAGTATTCTTCTGGTGTCGTCATTGTACCAAGCTTGTTCTTTCATTTCCCTCAAAATTTCTGCAGGATCCTAAAAAATGCACCTGTGTATACACATATATCAACAATGTCGATTATCGACAGATTTCACTACTCTATAAGTTCACTAGTTTCCCGTCTTTAAGAGACTATGTATTGTTAATATTATAGCTTGAAATGCGTGCACGAAGTATGTGTGCGTGTGCGTGTGTTCCTTTAATTACCTTTACTGTAAACGGCCGTTTTGGTTCATATCCGACTTCGCTGGCATGTTTAGCGTCAGCACGGAATATAATGAACTGTCCCTCTGCTGCTTGGACCACCTGCTCCGCGTTGCAAGAGAGTTTCCCCTTTTGATGCATGCTGGATGCCAAGTTACGGTAATCCTTAACGTTTTGCATCAAAGTCAGCCAAACATATTTCTTTCCAAACAAGCCATATTTGTATGCCTGTTTGAAAAAAAAAAACAATAAGCAAACCACAAACTATGCCAAATATATATGTTCTATGTCGTTTTTACAATATTGTGTTGTGTTGTACTGGCATACGGTACATGTATCATTCTATCCCCCCTTTCAAAATACAAAAAACTTAATCTAACCCTTTCATCTTTCTAAGGGTTAGGCACGACACCTTTTCAGAACCACAGAACCAATGTTTCAGAAGGAAACACAAGAGGGTCAATTTTTATCTGCTCCAGTCAGTCTCCGTCATTGTCTTGATATAGATATGTCATTATAGGAATCAGCGACAGCAAATAAAAGCTGAAATAAAATGCAAATAAAAGCAGCAAATGTTAGTACGATTGGAAAATGCCAAATACTACATACAATGGCACTTTTATAGCATTTTCAGTCACAAGAAGTGTAGCCAGTTACACGTCGGATTGGATTGTCGTTGCCTAGCCACCAATGTGACTGGAACGGATGTCCGCTAGGAACCGTAGTCCGTTTCCAATTATTTTGTACAGGTGACATTCGTCCCATATACTAACCCCAATACTCCGATCAACCCACACCTCTAGTAATCATATGGTACCCCAGACTTCCATTCCTAAGACTAACATTCCTGCGACACCGGCAATTCACTCAAAAACATCTCCATCTGTTCCTAACCCGGCAGACAGTGTTAATAAAGCTACTTTAAGCTATACTGGAATATTTGTAATTTGGCCGTTGGTTCAGCCCACAGCACGCACTGTGTGCTATCGTTTTAACCTTACCTGACAAAACACGTGACAAAGCGGTGAGCCCTGTCCGCTAGCGTGATGCAGGATTACCCTTGCGTCCAATTCCTAGAATGAAAAAAAATAAATAAATAAAAAACTAGCTAATTTTATACGAAGGTTATTCAATGTGTATTGAGTAGGGCAAATATAGGAGAGTGACCTCATTGAACACAGGGCATGTTGCATCCCTCCCATTATATCTTGGATAGCTTTATTTGGCTTAGTTTCAAACCCAAAAATTCATATTGTAGTTTAAATTTATTCATTTATAATTAAAGTGTTACCTTCAGTTTTTCCATCACTTGGCCTAGCTGCTCTACTCTATAAAATATAGAAGTGATAATTTCTATGCCCGACTGTCTTAAGAGAGTTTCCACTTCTTTCGACATCTACTCGGAAAAGAAAAAGAAAACACAGTGTTATTCTTGAAAAAATATCCAATATTTCTTCAAACACAGGCACAGGTTTTGCATTCAGACACATACTCACAACAATTAAGCAGTCAAAATGTAAAATTCGTTTTTCTTATTAATCAGATTTATTACATGAGGCTAAATTAATCTTACATGTCATGCGTAATACATGTACATAGGCAGATTACAATACTAGAATTCCCTCAAAGGCAAAGAAATATTATTCTGTCAGTCACCTGGAAATGTCAACATTCACTTTACCTACCCTCTACCAGGGCGGCAGATCGATTTTTCACAAGATATTCACAGACATGTCTTTAGATAAATAGACAGTCATTTCATTATCTAGCTTTTTCATGATTTCCCTATAATATATATCTTCCACATTGGTAGAGGGTGCACCTTACCTCTTTATACGACCCCTTGTCCTCCGCAAGCAATGCCACGCGGGTCCAACCGAAGCGCTTGACAAAATCCACTTCTATAGTGATAACGTCTAGCAGTGAGCCGATTGTCCGGTACAAATACGGGAAGACGAGTCTTTGGGATAGTGTGAAAGACGAGCTACCGGTCGCGACCTACAATAAACATGTATCTATAAAAGGATCGGTTGGTCCACCGTGAGAAATTTGTGGTGGTGGGCAGAGTTGAGACACGTAAATGTGACAGTCTAGTTCCCGCCGATAGACAAGGGAAGGGCGGAAGGGCAGCATTCACAACCGCATACTAACTAGTCCGAGGATCAAGTGTGGCCGACTCACTTGAATGCTTGTTGCATAGTCTCCGTGGGGAGTCTATACAGTGTATATTACGGGATAAGACAGCGAGCTTTTAAATGGATCGCCATATTTGATCCGCGGACTAGTTAGCCCGCTGCTCTGAATGCGGCCAAGTTCATCTACAGCATTCAGAACAGCTCAGAGTATCATAAGACTAGCCCACTCTCTAACCAGTAGTGTGGTACAAAACATTGTATCGCTGATACTTTACTTTTGTATACTATTACACCCTGATATCACAGGGTAAACCTAACACGAGTTCCAGATCCAAATCAAGATAAAAGATTAAATCTTTTATTTTAAGTCAGCGCATAAGTGAGCCAATGTGATCTGAATGAGACTAGAGATGCAGTGTGTTAACATTTTGTTTTGGTGTATCATACCTGTATCATTTTCAGTTTCCCCGTGATCTCTCCTATCACATCCGTCTCAGTGACGCTGCCATGGTGCAGCAGTAACATTACCGGCGGGTCCGTTTTTGGCGTCATCAGCTCTTGGAGCTTGGCCACAGCGTTTCCAACATGATATACAGATTCGTTCGCAGGCACCTTCAGATTAGAGAAAACAATGTATCAGTGCACTGATTTTCTGTAAAGGCTATTAGGTTCGGTGATTGTTTTAGCCTGAAATTATTCCAAGATTAATAATGCCCATATTTTTTTCTTCATTCTGGCGCCATTGTATAGGTAAGGCATAAAATATGAGTTTTCAGCTATTTGTGCCAATTCATAGATAAAAATACATTTACGGAAAGATGAAGCTAACAGGTTTTGACTTGGTACCAATCAGAATTTTCAGGTTAATATAGACTTAAGCACAAAAACTAACTGTGTTGGTGCGCATTATTTTTGAAACGTATAGACTGGCATATGCCATGTGTGTCACATGAGAGTCAATAGCAGCTCTTGTAACTGGGGGTTACATTGTATGAAGTGAGTGTTCAAACGGGTACCTGAAGGTTTACTGTCCTAACGTTGGGGGCAATGTTTCCTGACCATATGGTCATTTTGGCTGAACATTCTTGGTAATGGATACTTGATCTTGCTGTTAAAGTTTGTGATAGGGAATTACGTGACATTAAAAATACTCTTCACGCCTTTGAACCACCCCCAGTCATTTCTTGTCATGAAAAGATGCTTATATTTCGTGATCCATACATTAAATGTTGTTTATGCCCCGTAGATGTTACCTGAAGATCATGTTATGTCCTTATTATCTTTTCAGTCTTGTCAGGTAGTCATGGCAACATGCGATAGGTGTATTTTACACGACACGGGTCAGTCAGACAAAACTCCGCATAAATTTTTTCTGCTGTGAAATTAAATCCAGACTGTGCCTGGTGGAGGTCCGGGAAGGCAGTTCCACATTTAGGAGCACTATCAATATTGTTTACAGTTTGACATTTTGTCATTTCATTTTATTCAATCTATTCAGCTATTCTCACATCCAAAGGAACGATCAAAATTTGAGAGGGCATGTGCCACCCCATTCTGAACCTTACAGAGACAAGTATTTAAATTATACATATATTTGCCTTAACGCGCTGCCAATGACTAGTAGGATTGCGTATAATGCATGTGGCACCCCTCGTCTTCTTACGGTTAATAAGGACATTTTAAATTTATAATCTTGTTGTTTAAAGTTTTTTTTTTTTTTTTTTTGGGGGGGGGGGGGATCTTTCAATCTACAGTCAGCTTTGGCCTGTCTTATTTTAATTATCATCATTTTAGGAGACCGTACCAGAACGATAAGGTCACCATATCATGTCAGTCTTACGGTATGCAACCCTCTTCAATTACAACGACCATGGGTGGGACAACAGAGGGATTAGATTGACTCCGCGTAATCTTAATCAAGCAGCTGACAAAGACAAGTGGAACTTATTAAGCTACTGCAATCAATTTCAGCAGTGAACGATCTTGATAAAAGTGCGTGCCTGGGCGTTCTTTTAACTCTGCAGGGCATACATGACTGAACTATTTACATTGCTAATAGGGGAAAGGTGAACTGTGCATACCCCATAAAGAACAAATGGAAATGTTTAAAAGATGGCGACGAGACCGAGAGCCCGTTGTTCGAGAAATATTGTTGGGCCGGCTCACTGTGAGATATATACATCGTTGAAGTTGCAATTATTGGAATATTCTGACCATTACGTGAGAAATTCATCTCAACGGAGCCCCCACGCTCGACATCCCCATTCAATTAACTGCAGAACGCGAAAAGGGAAAAAATCCGGAAGCGTAATGATAATAGGTGCGACACAAATTAAACCCGCGGTCCACTTATTTTAAGTTGACATAGTATTTGCTAACATCTAATATCGAATGAATGTTTTTCAGTTTTTCAAAATTTGCAAATTTTTCTGACGAGTATTCTTTTTTTTGTTGTCTTTATATTGAAAATAACATTAAAAATACTTCAGACAGACTAGACTGATATTTATCCTTGATTCATATACAGAAATAATGAATTATGGGTTAACTCCACTCACCGAAGTGTTTTTGATGACAAGACGCAGCGTGTGACCTGACAGCACATCGGGGTGGTTGTTGATGTCGTTGAGGGCCAGCTGCACAGGGCCGTACATTTGCTCGTCGGGCGTGCCAATCGGAGTGAGCATACCGAAGTAAATATCAGCACCCACAGTAACACGGAGATACAGACCCAATAACAGCGCAATGCTGGAAAACACTTCCATTTTTAAACGCGCAAATTCATATAATAGGCTTGTCGCTGCACCGTGTCCGTATGACAGTAAATTGTCCTCATCCGATTAACTTCGAGAGGGTTCGCCTGGCGCAGACGCAGACTAAAAACGACCCAGTTATGAAAGGTGATTTTGGCAAGGTTTTGCAGTTTATGCCCTTTTTCGCAATGCAAACCACAACCTGAAAGATATAATCTTAATGAGGCTAGATAGTTTTTTTTTGTAAATTATTATATGACGCGTTAAAGGCTAACCAAGACCAGTTCTTGTTTTAAAACTGTGTCCTAAAGTATCCGTGAGGACACGACGTGAATAATGTGAAATGTGCAAGTCACTCGCGTTTCAAGAGAAAATATTTTCCCGTGAGCTAAGGATTCCAGCAGACGATCTTGTCGCACAGACGAACTGGTCCGCACAAGGGTAGAAAAGGAGTGAAAGGATTGAGTTTTTTTTTCTTCAGCGTCCTTCGCTTACATTGAGAAGGTGGAAAGAATTGCAATCGTAGAGAAAATAAATTGTTTGATTATCGTTTGATAAGCTCTTTCTTTCTACTCAGTATATTGGAAAGGGGCAAATTTCCTTTTTCATTATTTGTTGTTGCTGTTGATTTTGTTTCAAAAAAATCGTATAGTATCTTTGATGAAAATGTAGATATGATGTCAGGTTTTAGAGAAAAAGTACCAATAACACCATGAAAATTCGTTTTAAAAGAGTATTTTTCAGCTTTCCCCCGTACATTTAATGCCAAGCAGGTCGACCAGAGTTCGACAATACGAACCCACGCGTGTCACGTAGGATGCGTATTTGTAATCTCAATGCTTCTAGCAACATCATGAATACCATTAGGGACAATGTTTTTTTAATCAGACAAGTTTTGTACATCCAGAATGATGAAAATTCTGATGTTCTCCGCGCAGCACAGAGAGGGTTGATAAAATACAATCATTGGCTCTGGCGGAGGCCAATTTTTTTTTTTTTTTTAATCTCAGAAAAGTGATATTGACGGTCAAAGTTGACTACTAATATATGGATATATCTTACACTGAAGCAGACAATATTTTTGTGTAAACATTTAAACCTTTTTTGGAGCTAAAATTATTTTATGAAACCGGCCCATCTACATACAGTGCATGGCTGATCTACTACAGAGCATATACATGTAGTTGACCTCTCCCCCTCCCCCCAAACAAAAATAATAATAATAATGAATAAATCAATAAACAGACCCATAAGAAATTCATTAAATCCCAATAAGGTCTATCACATTCCTACCGGATTTTCCGGATTTTTGGTGTGATTGCTCCCCACATTTCACACGAGGGTTGTTCTTGTACAAATGGTGCTGGGAAAATCTCCGAAAAAAAATTTTTTTTGTCACTCTGCACTGTCGTCTTCACACGTGCAGATGTAGTTGCTTCCATCGTCTGGCCAAAAGTTACCAGGGCGCATCAGAGGCAAGTGCACATAAATATTCTGCTGTTTTTATGCTGTGTAACGAGCGGAATGATACAATAGCAGGTATTTTTTCCGTGCCCTGAATAGACGTATACATGCCCTCGTCAACGTTATGTATTTGTGAGGCGAACCAAAACATGAACCTTCTTATTGTGTTTCCCTTGGTAGAACCCTGGATCTAAGGGACCGTTCAGAATGAGTAATGCCGACCTAGCCAGTATCCGTAAGCTCCACGGGACACTCAGTGAATGCAATCAGATTAACAGACTAACACGCCTCCTCCTAGCGTTGAGTAGAGTACGAAAAAGCTGTTGATTATACGAGTACGTTGGAAACAATAGGGACGTGTTCGTCTGTTAATTTGATTACATTCAGCGAGAGACTCCGCGGAGTTGGTGCGCATTAACGAAGTCAACAGAACTCATGCGGAACGGCCCCTTATAGAATTAACGAGTAAGGACACGTCTCTATTCAGCTTGGAAGAGAGGCCTGAGGCGGGGTGACGGGTTTCGCATATTTTTCTCCCTCCTCTTTTTTTTCTCTTTCCTGCAGTGAATGACTTGCAGTATTTTATCTCCATACTGATGCATAAATAAATCATTATGAATTCATTGTCGTGCTTGAGGTGATATTGTGCCAAATTCGTTTCTATCAACGTCGCATTTGTCTTTTTTTTTTTAATCTGTCAACTTCTATCTGTTCTGTTGATCAAATATGATCCCAACTCAGCGTGTTTTCTGCGATTTAACATCATTTAGAACGCATTTAGAATGTAAAAAAAAAATAATAATAATAAAAATACTGGTACTCTACGACCTGTAAATCAACTTTAATGATTCCAAGTCATGTAAGGCAATCGTTTATGAAATATGAATGTAAATTATGGGTTGTATATGAACAGTATTATCCGTATTGCCTGACCCGTACGTTTTCACAACTAGTGCCACATAAAGGTGTCGCTACTCTTACGTTGACGGAATTCCTTCCAAATCACTAAGGAGTTTGCCCTACGGGAGTGGGACTTCATGTCACAGTGAAATACCTGTAGGTTATTATTCATATGTTTATATATCTCTTGCAAAATGAAGGTAAAAAGTAATCATTTGAAAAGAAATGCAGGGTCGAAACGTTGTTTTGTATCATTATTGATAGCCTAAGGTAAGAAAAACGTTTAACCTTTAGTAACGACTTCTTTTTTTATTACCAACGGTGGCATGGTTTGCTTGTGAAGGGCTAATAATGTGCAGAACAAAGAAAAAGGGCACGATTTATTTACACGTTTTTTATTACCAATCTTCTATATATTCTTGGTTTAAAATTTTATGTATACGGCCTGTAGAGTACGAAGTAAAAGCCATTTGTCGACGAAAACATAGTACTCTTCAGTCAAAAATGATCACATTTTNGTTAAAAAAAAAAAAAAAAAAAAAAAAAAAAAAAAAAAAAAAAAAAAAAAAAAAAACGCACAATAAGTATTAAACAAAACTAAAATACCAATGACTTTGAAGATTCGCTCTTCATATGTCAACATATAATAAATTCTAGCTTATTGTATACAAAACCAAAATAGTATTAAAGCTCTTTAGTATGCAGAATCAACACAACATATACATAGTATATTGCTCCTTTGAGAGTGAAACTGTTCTGCTTGTACCCAGTAATGATCCAAAATCACTGTCCCGCCATTGTCACATTGAATACTTTCCCTTGCAAAGTTGTCCAACGATTCTTACCAAGACACCAAGCTTATCCTGTTGTCTATCAAAACACCTGTGGTTTTCCTGAATATTTTTGCAGCCATACCCAAACGTGCTGCAGCATAAAAATGGTCCACTTAGGATTTCTTCACAAACCATCCTAGCTGCCCGTTTTTTTCCAAATCTGTATCAGTATTCCTTTGTGAGCATTGCACATTCTGTATCACCTTTCACGATATTCACAGACCTACATGTATGTAGAAACGATGTGAAGCAGCTGATGCTACATTCCAGCACATAATCAAGTCAGGTAATATAATAAATAGATCGAAGTTCCGTATCTAACAGCAAGTCTCTGAGCAGATGTAAAGGTCTTATGCTCCCTCTCTTTCTCTATAATTATGTATGTTTATGTATATATAATTATATTATGGCAAGCTGCTTTGAAATACCATACATGAAGAGTTGCCAAATGTTCCCAATTCATTATAATAATAGATGCTTCACAACAACTGCTTAACTTAGAGTTATTTACACTCCAATATCTCCATCTAATACAGCTGATGAAATCATTTTTTTTCCTTTTCAACCAATTGATTTTCTTCGCCTTCAAGTGTCGTATTCTGTTATTTATCAAGGTGGATACAGCCGTCCTGGTTAACCATCGCCTTAAGTCCATTCAGATTTAAAGAAAATCCATCCATTTGATTGAAGTTAAATCTGAGCCCCTACTGAAAGATCCCGAGGACCATGTTCACTGAGCCTGCTCATCACACATCAATAAACAACAGGCCCCAGTTTCACAAAAAAACTGAAGTCAAGTTCCCTTGCTAAAAACTTAATTACCAAGGTAACATGGTCACATGGACACATCTTGCCCTATCAGGAGCAGTGTAACAGCACTCTCACGGATATTCTAGTCAACTAAGCTAGGGAACTGACTAAAGTTTTTTTATTTTTTTTTATTTTGTGAAACTGAGGCCAGATGGACACATTTTAGAACTGAAGACACTGGCAACTCTGACTATGGCACAGTCAATGTTGATACAGTATTTTCTATAGAATAAAGTGCTGTTGTTGCTTTCAATATGATATGGCCTCTGCTTGCTGTCCATTTACAGTTTTTGATTTGACCTTTCCGTCCTCTTCTACAGTAACTGTTTCCACACCATTTTCCACAACTCTGAAAAAAATTATGATAATGATAAAAATAAGAATGATAATAAATTATGAATAATAACTGAAACTATAACAGTAACAATCATAAAAATACAGCAGGTCGGTGTATTTCTGATGTTTAGTTATCTTCCATCAAAATTTTTGTGTTTTTGAAAAAGTGGACCTTTTTACCATGAAACTTTAGCATGCCTAGATCAATTTTTACCCATGGCAGATTTTTTTCCCCAGCAAAAAGTAGTTTGTTTGAACCCCCCTGGCTATGCAGTGGAGTATTGGCGGGGGGGAGGGGGGGGGGTCTGACCCCCCCTTCAGTTTCTGAAACATATATCCCACCAATATTCTCTTCAAATGAGAATTTCGACTAGCTAAATTATAGTTTTAAACCGTACCAAAGGGCACTATTTGCTCTCCAAAACACCAAAACATTTTCGGGACCCTTGAGCAGGCCCTGAACCCCACACCAAGGGGGCAAAAGTGTCATTCTGGACCCCCCTTCAAATAATCCTGGTTCCCCCCCTGGCTACGGGCCTGAAAGGACACCAAACACCAAAACTCAGAGTGATGGGAAAGCACCTTAAAGAAACCAGATACTCACTTTTTTGTTACTACTTTCTTCCCATTGACAAATCTCGTGGATGTGGATGTGGACCTGAAGTTTCCACCCTGCCTTGGTCCACTGAATGCAGAACCCGAGAATGTGGTGAAACTGTGGGAACAGAAAAAGAGAAAATGGAATTAAATATACCATTATGATAATAATTGTATTTCTCTCTCTGGCTCTGTTATTTTTCCTTTGAATACTCAATTTGTTGTTTTCACTGTACTCAAATCATGGACTATAATTTGTTAACATTTCCCTTCAGCTTTCAAGTCTGCAACTTAAATTAGCACATACAAATATCCTAAAATATTGATTAATAAATTACTGTTTTGCTGGAATGGTACCAATAACACATTTAATGGAAATATCCACCCCTGTATACTTCACAGATTGTTAAATATTCTGAAACACAAAGGCATACAAGATGCAATAACTGTCGGATCCCCAAACCACGTTTGTACTTTATCCCTTTGAACCAAGCATCATATTTGTGATATATATATATAATAATTATTATTGTATCTTAGTACACATATTTTATCTTTCAAATAAGTTGTAACATCAGGAAGATATTCAACCAGCCTTAAAAATTATATAATTTATCAAATCAATAATTTATCTAATCGTGTGTGCATTTAGGTACATCATTTGTGGTTTATATCCATATTAGGTGCATAATGTTAAGCCAACTACAACTTGTCCCTTCTCTCTCTCTTTGTATGTGTATGTGTTGACAAACATATTCCATGGACAGTCTCTCTCCTCAAGGTTTTATTTCAAATCCAGCTTTTCAGCTATCATACACTGGTCTTCTATGCTGAAGTCTTCTACTTTTATAAGTGTTTGTTCTCTGCTTATGGGGCAAATCTTGCTTAATCAATCATTTCCCTTGGGGCTGTTAATTTTATTTCTGCATCCTCTCAAAATTATCTTCATATTTTAATCTTTTTAATTTTCAAAGTTTTACTGAAATCCTGCTAAATAAAATCCTGCTTAATAAAATAATCAAATTCAACTGCCACAGTGTAAAGCAATCATCTTCTCTAACACACCTGAGCTCTGAATGTGCATCAGAAGAAGAAAACACTGGGGCACAACTAACACACTGGCAGTATATCCTGAGTATTGTAACTCCATGTCTGAAATATATCTTACTCATCAAATGTACATTAAATTATATACCCTCAGCTTATGAACACACATATACTGACAAAGCATTAACAGTGGGCCCAAAAAGTTGGCAGAGAACTTATAATCCTGGAAAGGGAAAAGGGGGAAAAACAAAGTATCGATCCAGCCAGGAGTATTGCATAACATGAATAACCAGAGTCAAGCTGTAGTGGCAGTACAGTCTTACCAGCATGTCTCTTCATATCAGTGATATATTCATTTATGGCTTAACCTGTCAGTCAAAGTGTTGTGGGTGTAGCATTTCCAATGTTTATCAACAGTCTTTGGGACTAAATGATTCATTTTCTTAATGAGATGCAGTATAGACCACTTAGATATTGTCCATGTTTCAAAAATATTTTAAAAGAAAATGCCAAATTGAATGTTATTTACATTCACAGCTGCTTTATTTCAATGGATTACTACAGACATAAACAGGATCAAAGTGGACTTATAAATTCAGTCATTATGTTAACTGTTTAATGCTTTGCAACAGCTTACCCAGAATGTCAGTTCGTCACCTCAGTTGCCTAGCAACAGCTTACCCAATATATCAGTCCTTGTCACCTCAGTTGCCGAGAAACATGTTCACCAGAATTTCAGTCCTTGTCACCTTAGTTGCTTAGCAATAGCCTATCCGAAGTCTCATTTCCTCCTGGTTACCAAGCAGCAATTTACCCAGAATTCCTGTGAAAACCTCTGACTTCCACTCACCTCTGGTTGTCAGCTTGTTGCACCTGTTGACCTCTACTTCCTGGCTGCCTCTCTCTATGAGAGAACAGCCCCTGAGATCCAAAGAATGGGCTGTCTGCAATGCTAGATTCTGGTTGGTTGAAATGCCTCAGAAGAGAGGGGATATTGAGGCCATGGACAGTATGGCGGTGGTGGTGATGGTGATATGGGTTGCGGCGCCTGCGTCTACTGTAAGATAGTGGTGTGTTACCCCACAGAAATCATAACAAAGAGAAAAGTCTCACAGAGGACATTGCAAGAAGAAATGGTGCTGATGAAAACAATTTGTTTATTAATTATTATGAACAGAGTTGTGAGATCAATAAATGAAAAGGAAAATGACCAGTCTATTAGATAGATAATTTTTGAAAGTTTTACTTTTAATTCTTTTTGTGAGCTTGAAATTATTTTAAAAAGAAAAAAATATTTATTTCAATATTTACTCAAACATATAAATCTAGGGTAAATCTGTTGGTCAGATAAAATATGAGTGTTAGTATTTAGCAAGATAATCCCATTTATAAATGCACAGATAAGATAGTGGTATAAACGAGGTGTTAGGTTATATCGATTTCGCTATAGAAGACAACGCAAGCGATGATTTAATTTGAGGGTGGGTAGCTGGGATATTTCTTCGGCCAAACAGGTTTGCCCACTGAATGATGAAAATAAAATATTGCAGCACTAGAAACAGGAGGAAGAAAACTTGAAGCAATTTCTACATGTATAGAAATATTATCAGAATGTTTTAATATTGACTTCCTCTTTCTGGTCAGTTGACTCAATTTTAATCAGAAATGTTTGGTAATCCATAATTGTGTTGCACATTATTGAGGACAAGTATGAACTTTTATGATTTAAAAAAATCAACAAAGAAGCACTCGCCTTGGGGTGATTTGTTTCACACATGGCAAAATGTTTGCAAAGAGTAAATTTACTCCATAACATTACAATATATACAGACAGAATTACTTGGAATTTCTTTTTAGAATTTCAATAATGAAGAAAGCTTTCTTATCATGACATATAATATTAGCAAATTGAGAGCAAGTTCAGATAATGAAATAGAAAAGGTCCAGATGCAATACAAAGATGTTTAGTAAATTTTAGGGGGGCAATACCTTGCCTTGGCCAGATATGTGTGGGACTGAAAACTTAATGATGAAAGTCACAGAATGATTGTCAAAAGGCATTACCAATGAAAGAAAGGCACTGGTGTGGAATCTTCACTCTTTATAAACTACACATGTGAGCATTCATAGACATGCAAAAGAGGACAAATGACCAAGATGCAGTGGGGAACACAACAGAAATCTATCTACACTATAAATACCATGACTGCACATCAACACCATTTAAACAGTTCTAATCTAGACTGAACAAGGCCATAAAGAAAGTTCATGACGACATCTATTCTAACAGAAACAGCTCAATGCAATGAAGAGAATATTACTAATTTAATAAAATCTAGAGAGAATGTTTATTTTAATTTTTTTACTTTGAAAAATGACTCGGTGTTTGTTGACATGACTTGTGCAGTTTTGAGAGGAAGAGTAGATTGGTGTGGGAGGGGGGGGGAGAGGGGAAAGGGCAGAGATGACAGTGTAAAGAAGATACAGTAACAGTATACTTCCACCTTACTGGTACTTTAGATTTGTCTACTGTTTAAGCGGGTACTTCCTAAAAGGCTAATCCAGCTAGTAAATTTGACTTAATCTAAGACTTGTGTGAAAGCAATGAAATATCCTTTATGTCTTGATATTAGTTATCTAGGACTGGACTGTCTGAAATATTTTCTTTCGCATTCAACGCCAAAAATTCCACTGAGATGTTCCTCCTACAGCCTATTAAATCTACAGCACATTTGAAAATTTGACAATAAAAATGAAATGACTATAGGTCCCACAGAATCACTGCAAGGGAAATTTTTAATGAATGAAGCTAGCTTTGAGTGATGAAGACTGAATACAAATGCATCTGTCTGCTTCAGACGTACAGGGGTTTTCATTTAAGCACGGAAGTTGCACCTCCAAACCCAAGCTGGATTCAACATTTAGTTTTACATTTTGCAACCGAAGCACTAGATTCAACATTTAGTTTCATATCTCCCAGCCTAAGCAATGGATTCTGTCCAAATACTCATCAGTTTATCAATACATATCCTGTTTGAATGTTGTGATAACATAAATTTTTTAAAAATCTGATCCCTATTTATCTTTATAACTGCAGTTTTGTCTGAACTTCTGCAACCTTTTCTTATTACCTCAAGTTTGTTGCCAACATTCTACAACATTTCAAATGATATCGATAATATATATAAATTTCTTTCTATGAGTTAACTGTCAACAATGTCCCTGTCATAAACATTTTCACTGCCATCAAGTGTCATTTTAGTATGTATATATGTAAATTTAGTAAAGGGGAAAACTAAAAGAGAAACAATAAATACATAACCACAAGACTTTTACTTAAATTGCAGCAGAAATTAATTTCATTCCAAAACAACAGGAAGCCAAACTTTGTGGTTTATCACACTGCATGATGTGCTGTGAATGTCGAGTTAATGTCCGTCTACCATCTCCAATAAAACATGCATAAGTCAGCAGTGAAGTACTTCAGTCATGTATTTTCTTAAGGTACTGTTGCTAAAGTTAAATACAACGCAGCATAAATGGGTTCTTAACCTTAGCAATACTTCAATAAATTAAGTATATAAGCCATAATGTTACACCAAAATTACAAAAATAAAAAGATAATAACTATAATAGTACAATTTCATGATTCATTGGATTTTTTTCTGAACCTTTTTTCTTGATAATATATTCCCATTTCATTTTCAATGCTTCTTGTCAAATTAGGTTTCAGTGAAAACAAAAACCAGTGAATCATTGCACATTTCTAACATTTCATTCCCCTATATATAAAGAAACAGATATTTAAAACAAAATAATAATAATAATAAAACATGCAATATATTGTATATAAATAGAACCAGTATAAACAACAGTAAGACAGCATTCATTTCCATGACTACCAACCCCCCGGTTACTATGGTAACAGCAAAGGCTTTTCATAAAAACTGTAACCGTGACGACTATCATGCCCACTGTAGCTAGCATTGGAACACTGAATATTAATATTGCTTGTTGGTGGAGGTTCAATCCCCATTCTGTTATTAACCAAATAATGCAGCGGGGGTATTAACAACCCTTCACACCAATGCATATATTGCCCAATAATAGCCATATCTGTTGCCGCAAATATGTCCAGAAAGAATCAAATTTTATCTCCAATGAATAATATAGTTAGTAATAATATATGTATACCAATGCTCAAACATCTGGTTGAGGCCACACAATAGTGAAAATGTGCCTTGGCCTTTCTGACAATTCATTTGACCAGATAATTATATTTATCTGTCTGGGTAATATATTCATAAGCAAGGGTATAAAAAGTGTTTCTTTCTGAACATTTTGACAACATTACACCAATTTGATAAGCCTTATAACAGCTGTTACTATTCATCTGTCTAAGACTCTTGCTACTATGGTATACTGTGTACATATCTTATTTTCGTAACTTTTTAAAAATTTGGACAAATATGAAATAAAATGCCTAACAAATGATTTTTTTCAGACTTCCATTCCACAAGCCTTTAAACTAATTTAAAGTTAATAATTTGATTCTACTTATATTTTTAACTGCATTCTTATTTATTGTAGTAGCAGGAGCCTTTTTTAAACTGACCAGGGTCAGTCAACAGGTACTCACTTTGACCCTCCGAACCCCGCAAAGGGGTCCATGTCTCCTCCCATGAAGCCGAAGCTTGGAAAGCCTGGAAATGAATTTTGGAACAAATCAGTACGGCGATCTGTGCGATTTCTCCCCCTCTGCTGTCTGCCTCCAATCCCTGCAACAACAAGCAAACATATTGATAGATGGCGCTGGTGCATTGCATTGGGCAAGAAAAACACTGTTAGCATGGGTATTGCTAGTTGTGAATACAGATTCTGTGATGAAACGACCACGAATTTTAGAGTGTAAAATACTTATAAGTAATAGATAAAATTAAAAGCAAATAATTATAATTTAATAAATTTTTTAAAAAATCAAGCTAACAGAAGTACCAACTATAAGAAGCAAAAAACATCCAACATGTGGCAAATAACATTAAATATACAGTTAATAACATTTAACATTAAACACTGTGACGATCACATTAGCAACATATTAAAAAAAATAAAATCAAGCTTTGCCAATGCTTTACAAAGTCATAAAGGATCATTTTATACAACTTGGAAAAATATTCTACTTAGTTTACTTATTGCAGTGCATCAAATGTTATAACCAATATTTCAATATATCTCACAGTTCTCTATTCATATTTGACAACAAATGACAACAGTCACTGACAAGTCTAAAGCATGGTATTCTGTATAAAAGCAGCTACCAGTTGCACCCTTTTCAGCAAAACAATTAAACTAAGTGAATTAAAATAATAATAATAATAAAAAAAACTCACCAAATGCCATGCTTATCTTAAAAATACTTAAATATAAACCAATACTTTCATTCACTGACAGAATACAAGAACTATTTCACCATTATTTACTATATATTCCTAATTGTGTGAATGAAAAAAATAAAATTTCTTTCCCAAAGGCTAGGATACTCTGGTATAGTTCAAAATGGTTTTAAAATTCATTTGAAATGCTGACATTTAATGTTTTATTCATTATTTCTTACCGAGTTCGTTAAGTACAAACATTTTGTGTTTAAACATATCATTCAATTAGAGGGATGAATAATTCAAAACTAATTTAAAAGAGACATTGTAAGTATTTTTTTAAAACTTGCCACTGAAAATAAGTAAAAAATTCTGACTCAAATGATTTAAAGCTAGAAGTGTTGGTCCAGAGAGAAATTTAAATTTCTTTTTATAAGTATTTACTTGAGTTAATTTTCAAACCTTGACATGGACCCATCTCCTTAGTTATACACGTTAGGTGAACTTTTTAACATTTTAGTACAAAGCAAATAATTAATTCCTTTCATCTTCCCAGAAAGCCATGGGCCATATGGTAATAGGTGACAATTAATACAAAAGTGCTGTTAGCAAACCCATTACTTTCCAGCCTGGCTTGTAAATATGAATTACCAAATAAACAAGCATTCCTTTAGTCCATCACCACTGTTAGTCATTTAATGAGCTGATTTCTGAATTAAAACAATTTTAATAATAACAAAATAACTATTAAGTAAATAAAAAATCTGAGCAATTTCTGTCACTAAATGAAAAGTAGAAACAAACACTTCCATAATGTTTTGATATCTCAACATAATTCTACTGACAAAATATTCACAAACAAAAAAACATAGTAGTCCTGACGCTTGAGGGAAAATGGCCAAATGTACTGAGTTGGGAAATCTAGCCATAATGCAATTTCCATAGATATATCTCACTGCATCACTGACAGTATAGTTAGTGGTAACTTGATGCTTCATAATGACAAAAAATCAAAATTGTGCAACAACAACACAATTTTACACTCCTTACTCTGGGGAGTCGGGGCCCCGATTTTCGGTCTACAGACAACTCGTGTCTGAACAGACTGTGAGTCATCTACATCATTCTATATATTCATGTAGGTATGCCAGCAGCATTTTGTAACCTGTACCAAGCACTTGTTAACTCTGGCTCTTCCTCCATTGTGCTAGATAACTAGCTGGTGAAATATTTTTTCTCTTTCACTATTTTTTAATATTTAAACTTTTCTCTTATTGCTTTTGCCGTTGAAGTCTCTAGTTTAGATGTTTTCATTTAAGGTTATCATCAGTGTAGTAAAAAAAAAAAAAAAAAAAAAAATCTTGTCAAGACTCGACTTTTCTCTACAGCTGAAATTTCCTGATCTCTCTCTGTTTGCTTTTGCTGACATGGCCAACTGTAGAATATGCTTGAATTTCCTTTTCTCTTTAACTTTCTCATTTTATACTACATTATGTGATGGAATAGATCTCACTGACAATCAGCAATTTTGATTGCTTGTTTAGAAAATTGTTCATAAGTTTCTTATTTAGACCAGCCTGTGGATAAAATATCTCATCAGAGAAAAAAAAAACAATTATTTAAATTATCTATGAAACCAAACATTAAGGCCTCATAACAGAGAACCAATCCTTGGGGGAAAAAGAATATTAAGTTTCTAAGTGAAATATATGTTTACCGCATACATGGCTTTTAAAAAATGACAGGAGGTTTACCTCCGAAAAAGTCTTCAAAAGGATCTCGGCCCCCGAAAAATTCCCGGAACACTTCCTCCGGGTCTCTGAATGTGAAGTGGAACCCAGTGTCATAGCCTCCAAAGTCAATGTCTGCGTCATTGAGACCGTCCTTGCCATATCTGTCATACAAGTCACGCTTCTTAGCTGAAAGAGAAAATGATATTCATAAGTTAATATAGTGTATTTCAGAAATCTGATGTTTTATTGCAATTATATATGGGCCATAGTAATAATAATATAAATTAATAATAAATTATAATACTAATAAAGTCGAACCAGTGGATAATTGAAACTGTATTCAGATGAAACGCTGGAGTTTTGGTAAAAATTACAAATTACTTTCTGATCTTTTACAGATTTTATATGCATAAAAGAGTTAAAAAAGATGCGCTGAGTTTTCTTATTTCTGGCAACCAGCCGGCCTTTTCTTTTTAACATGTCAAAGGTGAAGATGAACAGTGTGACATTAAGATATAAGTCTTACAGTATATTAGAATTATACTTAATTTTCCACATTCTGATAGATTTCACAAGGTAAAGGAAGAGAAACCTGGAATTTTCAATTAGAAACAAGGCAGCAAAGCTGTCAAATGTACAGACAAAAAGCAGGAAATAACTATGCACAAAATAGGNAATATTCTACTTAGTTTACTTATTGTAGTGCATCAAATGTTATAACCAATATTTCAATATATCTCACAGTTCTCTATTCATATTTGACAACAAATGACAACAGTCACTGACAAGTCTAAAGCATGGTATTCTGTATAAAAGCAGCTACCAGTTGCACCCTTTTCAGCAAAACAATTAAACTAAGTGAATTAAAATAATAATAATAATAATAAAAAACTCACCAAATGCCATGCTTATCTTAAAAATACTTAAATATAAACCAATACTTTCATTCACTGACAGAATACAAGAACTATTTCACCATTATTTACTATATATTCCTAATTGTGTGAATGAAAAAAATAAAATTTCTTTCCCAAAGGCTAGGATACTCTGGTATAGTTCAAAATGGTTTTAAAATTCATTTGAAATGCTGACATTTAATGTTTTATTCATTATTTCTTACCGAGTTCGTTAAGTACAAACACTTTGTGTTTAAACATATCATTCAATTAGAGGGATGAATAATTCAAAACTAATTTAAAAGAGACATTGTAAGTGTTTTTTTAAAACTTGCCACTGAAAATAAGTAAAAAATTCTGACTCAAATGATTTAAAGCTAGAAGTGTTGGTCCAGAGAGAAATTTAAATTTCTTTTTATAAGTATTTACTTGAGTTTATTTTCAAACCTTGACATGGACCCATCTTCTTAGTTATACATGTTAGGTGAACTTTTTAACATTTTAGTACAAAGCAAATAATTAATTCCTTTCATCTTCCCAGAAAGCCATGGGCCATATGGTAATAGGTGACAATTAATACAAAAGTGCTGTTAGCAAACCCATTACTTTCCAGCTTGGCTTGTAAATATGAATTACCAAATAAACAAGCATTCCTTTTGTCCATCACCACTGTTAGTCATTTAATGAGCTGATTTCTGAATTAAGTAAATAAAAAATTTGAGCAATTTCTGTCACTAAATGAAAAGTAGAAACAAACACTTCCATAATGTTTTGATATCTCAACATAATTCTAGTGACAAAATATTCACAAACAAAAAACATAGTAGTCCTGACGCTTGAGGGAAAATGGCCAAATGTACTGAGTTGGGAAATCCAGCCATAATGCAATTTCCACAGATATATCTCACTGCATCACAGACAGTATAGTTAGTGGTAACTTGATCATTCATAATGACAAAAAGTCAGAATTGTGCAACAACACAACAATTTTACACTCCTTACTCTGGGGAGTTGGGGCCCTGACTTTCGGTCTACAGACATCTCGTGTCTGAACAAGACTGTGAGTCATTTACATCTATTCTATATATTCATGCAGGTATGCCAGCAGCATTTTGTAACCTGTACCAAGCACTTGTTTAACTCTGGCTGCTCCTCCATTGTGCTAGATAGCTAGCTGGCGAATTTTTTCTCTCTTTCAATTTTTTAAAAATATTCTATCTTTACTCTTATTGCTTTTGCCTTTGAAGTCTCTAGTTTAGTCTAGGGTTATCAGTGAAGTCGTCATTTTCAAAACAAAACAAATGATGAAGTTTTGCCAAGTGCAAAAATGAAATCTTGTTGAGAATTGACTTTTCTCTGTATAAGGATTTTTCTGCTGACTTGACCAACTGTAGTATACTCTTAAAATTCCTTCTCCCTATATTACCCTTTAACTCCACCATATGATGCCAGATGGAATAGATCTTGCTGACAATCAGCATTTTTTTAATTGTGCAGAAAACACTGCAAAAAATTCTCATTTAAACCAGCCTTTTGATAAAAAATCTCATCAGAAAATTTAAGTGGAAAAAAACAACAATTATTTAAATTATCCATTAAACCCGAACATAAAGTTCTCATAATAGAGAACCATTCCTTGGGGGGAAAAAAACTTAAGTTTCTAAGTGAAATATATGTTTACTGTATACATGGCTTTAAAAAAAAATGACAGGAGGTTTACCTCCGAAAAAGTCTTCGAAAGGATCTCGGCCCCCAAAAAATTCCCGGAACACTTCCTCCGGATCTCTGAATGTGAAGTGGAACCCAGTGTCATAGCCTCCAAAGTCAATGTCTGCGTCATTGAGGCCGTCCTTGCCATATCTGTCATACAAGTCACGCTTCTTAGCTGAAAGAGAAAATGATATTCGTAAGTTAATATAGTGTATTAGGGCTGCTATTTCAGAAACAATTATGTTGCACTAGTTATGAGCAATAATAATAATAATAATAATAATAATAATAATAATAAAGTCAAGACAGTGGATAACTGAAACTGTATTCAGATGAAACACTAGAGTTTTGGTAAAAATGACTATAATTACTTTCTGATCTTTTACAGATTTCATATGCATAAACCAGTTAAAAAGATGCACTGAATTTTCTCATTTCTGGCAATCAGCTGACCTTTTCTTTATTACACGTCAAAGGTGAAGATGAACAGTGTGACATTAAGATACAAGTCTTACGGTACATTAGAATTATACTTAATGATTTTCAACATTTTGATAGATTTCTCAAGGTAAAGGAAGAGACACCTGGAATTTTCAATTAGAAAAACTGTTAGTGTTGGGCTAGAGGGAAGAAATGTTGACTTCTACCCCTATTAAATTAACCTGGAATGTGCCAGATGATGAAAAAAAAAGGTTTCCACTCCAGGCAGAGGAGATTCTGAAGTATACAGTGGCTACAAAAAGGTCATAGGGAGAGCCATGACTGAATTAACCCTCCAATATAAAACACAGGCCTCATAGAATACCATGGTGTGAAGGCTTAACTTGGTGCATTTTGTTTCACCAGTCTATAAGCTTACAATTTGTGACCACAATAAGCCAATCCAATCCCTCTCTTGTACCGACCAACAGCTTCTGGATTGAGGTAAGTCACCTGTATATGGGTTGGCTACCTTTGGTTACAAATCACAATCACACTGTCCTTTCTCATTGTATGTTAAATTCATTTTTTAAAAGAACCTAAAAAGCCACATAAATGGCTAACAACCATTAGAAGTACTGTTAGATCAATCAGCTAGCTTGGTGTCATAGATTGGACCAAAACCTGTCTAGATATAATTTTGTCTTGACACACCAACAGGTCAGCATTAAGATATACACTTTTGACCCCTTATTCTACATTTTTTGTAAAATAAAGAAGAAAGAAAAGAACTGTTTTTTTCCAATAGAACTAAGGGTATGAGGGCATATCAACACAATACGTGTTTTGTGTCAACACTGTAATGTATCAGAGAAATTGTATGGTTATAAAAAGAGTATATTCAATAGTACCAGCAGATCATTTTGGTGCAAAGTTTACCTCCATGTTATATATACAGGTAAAACTAGTGGTTTATAGGCTGTGCTGAATATCAAATACCTTTCCCTGCAATAAAATTCATTCAACAGGTTCAAAATAGTGCACTTAGTCTAGTATCTCTCTCCCCCCCCTCTCGTTGGTCTTAAAGGGATGAATGCAGCAGGCTGATGATATTCAATCCAGGCTGACAGACTTCATCCATGTTAATAGTCCTCCTTTCATGATGACGTCTAGTCTTCCATTCAGGATGAAAGTCCTCCATCCAGGCTGACAGTCAACCATCCATGCTGACAGTCCTCCATCCAGGCTGACAGTATTAACATTCAAGTCAATTCAGAGGTAATTTCACTCACTTCTCATTAATAAATACCTTCTCAGTAAATTATGACTGTCTTCTGGAAGACCCACAAGATCATTTACCTTTACCATGAACCCCTTACCGTCTGATAGTACTTCATATGCCTCTGAGATCTCCTTGAACTTTTTCTCTGCCTCCTCTTTTCTGTCTGGGTTTTTGTCTGGGTGCCACCTTAGGGCCATTTTCTTGTAGCTGGAATAACAACAACACCTAGACAATATTGTATATATATTACTAGTAAATTTGTCACAGTAAATTCTCCTTATCGGCCAAACATATGTGTCACAGTAACAATTGCAATCAATGAAGTACCTTCACAAAAGATTTCCAGAACCTCTGTGACTTTGCTTCAAATCCTTCTAAAGCTGAGTGCATGAATATAGAAACAGGCAGCAGGAGAGAAAGCTCATCTCTTCCACACAGATCAAATCCATTTCCATTACATAAAACTTCCAGGTATAAAAATAAACTTGGACTTCGGGAGTATATTTCAGCATATTTATTCAAAGATGCCATCAAAAGAGCACCTGGTTGGAGATATGGATATAATGGATGTATTTACTTTGGGAAACTACACTGGAGACTGGTATTATAATAAAGCTGTTCTTTTTTTCTTTTATTTATGAAAAGTACAAAGATAAAAACATAGACAAGCATTTACTCTACGATGGTAAAGTTTGTCTGGTAATGTTTCCCCTGTCTACAGAAAATAATGTGTTTCTTGATTTTTGTGTCATTACTTTTTTAAAACTGCCAGTCCTTAATGGCTACCATAGCAAGCTCCATGAAATCAACCTCATCCTTATCAATCATGGGGAAAAAAAACACTTTCATAACTGAACATTCCATTTTGCTACCAAACAAAGCACCATCCACTGTTAAGATACGTCACAGAATTGGCTCTTACACCAATTGTCTACAGAAAAGAAATTCCAACAACAAGCAATAAAAGCAACATCAATTTCATTTCACCATTACAGAGGTACCATTACGGTAACCACAGTTCTGAGAAATTGCTATAAATAACCAAGTAAACTGCAAATTGCAAGCACTGCATGTGCAAATCACTGAAGCACTGCAAGAGGTTTTGGAAATGTCAACTACCACATGTATGAGAGCTGAATGTTCATTTCACATTTAGCTGAATTCTGTAAAACTGGCTTGAAACGTGTTGTGGGGGTTCACACTCAAAGTACTGTTCACATCAGGTTCATCTTACACTTGAAATCTAGCAAATCATAAGAAGACTGTAATAAAAGAGATAGAACTGTGCCTAAGACCCACTGCAAATCAGTCAAACATATGCCTTGAGATATGACTTAAGAAAAGAGAGGCACAACCATGTTCAAGGAGCCCCCTTTTTCCTGTAAGAGCTCACTGTCTCAACACAGTGTTTCTGTGTTACTGCCATTTTCAACATCACAAGTCAACAAAATCTGATTCTGGGCAAGGGAACACACACTTGGTTTTTGGTGGGACAACCTAATCTCCCTTTTCTCTCACATAGTAGGTCTGGGTGGCCATGGGGAATGCAGTAAGCAGTTCCAGGTGGGACAACCTAATCTCCCGGTTGTCCCACACATAATGGCCTTGTTATCCTTTTCAGACTTTGGATATGTCCACTACACTACTAGTATGTAATCCGCTCCCCATGATGACACAGTTAAGAATATTATCTTGTCAAAGCTGATCCTGATGTGAACACGTTTCACCTTGAAGCACATCCCCAGCTGATGAAATCAATCACCAACAATTTACATGTCTGTGTTACTGTGGGATTGGTGTTTCACACAGCGTGGATAACATAATAAGGCGGGTTAACACTGGTGGAAGTTAGACCTTACTGACTATACCATCCATCTCAGCATGCTAATTTTAGACAAACTCACTATATGTTGAAATCAAATGGTACGGGTCTCACCTCCATTAAAATGGAGTTCTATGTACTAGTAGGTAGCAACAGAAATAAAAAAATTGCCCGTAAGGGCGAAATAATTATTTTTCGCAGAATCTGCTGCTATGGGTCATAATTAGGTCAACCATCTCTAACACCCCATTTCCATAGATTAGATCGACCTACTTTAGATCGACCTAACTCCCTGGGGGTTCACGCTAAATAGCTGTCAGCCGGGCGGACACGAAAGTTAATTACCCACTTACAGCTTGTAGTAGGCAGGAAGGACATTTAAGTCGGATTATCTGAAAGTAATCTAGTGAGACTCCCCACGGGGATAGATCGATCTAAAATCTATGGGAATAGAGCCTAGGTGCGAATATAGAAACACCAAACAAAAAGATTTAAATCTGTAAAAATGTTTTACTTCCATTTACATTTGATTTAAATAAAAAAAATAAATAAAGAACACTCACGCTTTCTTGATCTCTGCATCTGGGGCTGATCTCGACACCTCGAGAACGTCGTAGTAGTCCAGTGATGGCATGGTGATGGCGGTGCATCCAAGGTTACCAGGGGAATGATGGGATGCCTATTTCAGGCAGTGGGGAAGTGATGACGCCCTAATCTACCTCACCAGGGGAGTCTGGAATGACAGGAGATGATAAATTTAAGATAATGTTACAGTAATAGCACTTAGATACACATGCATGCGCGTGCACACGTACACAGTGTACCAACATATCATATGCTGCACTTGATATATATAGAGATAAAGGTACCTAGTTTAACAAAACAAATTTGGCTGCTTACATTTTAGTTGATATTTTAAAAAAAAACCTTTTCTGACAACGTTTTTGTGTATATATATATATATATATATATATACACAAAAACGTTGTCAGAAAAGGTTTTTTTTTAAAATATCAACTAAAATGTAAGCAGCCAAATTTGTTTTGTTAAACTAGGTACCTTTATCTCTCTTCACAAGTTATATTTCTCAATACATGTCTCTGACATATATGCTCGTTCTCTCTCAAAAAGGCAGCTAGCTCAAAAACTGGTTACTAATAGGAAATAACTGGTTTATTTGCCAACACCCTTCAGGAAGAAAGCTCAACTTTTTTTTGGTCTTGGTTATATTGGGTAAATTCAACGAGTTAACAATATCATCATTTTTTCATTTTTTATAAATTTAATTTTTTTCTTTAACGTTCATACGTTAAGAAATGACACCTAAGGCACTTATATAGACAAGCTACACTGTAACCTAAATCTTAGACTAATACAATATCATGGAGTTCATCACATTTATAGTTAAATTTTACAACATTTGACTTTAAAAGTCTTACAACAATCTGAAGACACAAAAGAAAACCCTGCAGTTATTTTGGCTAATATAATGATCTATGTACCTAGTTTTCTTAGCATATGTGCCGCTTTTCCACCAACTCTTACATCAACAGTGTAATTATTCTGACATAAGAAAGATGTAACAGACTGAAAGTCGGCAAAATGTTATTCAATGTAAATAGCCTACAGACACGTCGACTATTTTTTCAATTATTTCCTTTAGTTTTGAAAGACAGACTTTGGACTTAGTAAGACAATGACAAAAGGTGCAGTTAGGTAAGAAGTTAGGACTGGACCAGCTTTGGTAAGAATTAAGTCACCATTATAATTCTAACAAATCGTTTTCAAGTAAACAGAAATAAATAAGTACTAGTAACTTACAATATATCACCTACTAGTACAGCCCAAAATTCATACTCCTCAGACCTACTCAATGCAGTTTTGTGCAGAAAAGAAGTTCTCAGAATTTACATAATGGTGGAAACTTTATTTGACTTTTTAAGTAGCAGAACCAAAATAGTCTGTTTTTCATAACTTCATTTGAACATCTACATAATACTATAAGCGATCGGCAAAACTGTCCTACTTTCTGTGTCTGGAAAAAGCTCTAGATGTGCCCCATGGACATAACATGTATTTTACACCTTGAAAACAGGATCAGTTGGCAGGTATTCTAATACAGACCAACCTTAAACAATACACCATCTACCTCACATAAACACCTACAAAAAGCTGGTGCTGAACAGTTTATTCTGGCTTATTTTATGTCCCCATATATGTTAAACCATAAAATCTACGTTTTGCTGATTTGGACGGAACATTTATTTTGATAAAGTGACTGAGTTTCAATATTAAATAAATAAGTAAATAAATAAATAAGCATCCCTTTAAAAGTCAACTGCACTGCACAGCTAATACTTCTTCAGAATCTCACAAACTTCCATTCATTTGTCAAATAATCAATTTGTGGTTCACAACAAACATCAAGGCACACTCAGCAGTATGCCTGCCTCACTGTGTATTTTTGCAAAAGAAGACCGCAGATTTTCATTTGTATTTGGAGAAAAAGTATTGTCCTTGGCTGAACCCTGCAATGCATTTGCTATATAATATAATAAATAATTCACGAAAACCACAACTCAACCTTACCATCCAGGCATACTCAACATACAAACCCTGGAGCTGCAATTAAACACATTTTAAAGCAAGACTTTTAACATTTCAAAGTAAGACTAAGTTCACACTACTGGTTTGAAGCTAATAAAATTTAAAACGCTTCAGCAAAAACTACATTAATTAAACTGCAAAGAAATTAAATGTGTTAGGCTCAGTTGTACTTTCCCGTGCAAAACTAGTAAATATTTAAAATTAATTTTGATGTGACAAATTTTTCAAGTTTTTACAGTACTGTGTACAGCCTCCATGGTACCCTGGATATTCAAATATCTATATGTGATGAATTTATCTGTCAAGCTGGTATTGAACTTGATGAACTTAGGCTGCAATACTTCTACCTGTGAAACTTCAAAGTCATCTGTACAGACCTTTTGATGACATTGTTATAGTAAAGATATCTGGCAGTAAAGAAATCATTATTATAAATCATGTGAAAAATTATGGATTGGGTTATGAACAACTCCGTATATTAAAAAAACATTGATCTAAACCCTTTCATTTCCTCTTTACCTCCCATTATCTGTTAGTTGAGTAGAATTTATACTGTATGCTTTTTTTTAGTTATGAGATATGGTGGTAGTAATTTGTACAATAAAAAAAGGGATCACCTGCTCTCCACCCATCTGTACATACACAGCAGTCTCCTTATTCCCCTTCTTGGCACTCCTCCCATCTCAGATTTATCTCAGGTAGAACCAGTTAGCT